TTTTTATTGTATATAGAATTTTGTTTTTTAAGAAATTAATAAAGTTTGAAATAAAAAATATATAATAAGTAGTGCTATAAACCAGGGTAGTACAAGAATGTTTTCTTCTTCTACTACCTTTCATTTATGCTCTTTCTTTTTATTGTATATATAATTTTGTTTTTTAAGAAATTAATAAAGTTTGAAATAAAAAATATATAATAAGTAGTGCTATAAACCAGGGTAGTACAATATTATTAGTATCCAATTGATATGAGACAATGAATGTGACCAGGATGTTGCTGATTTCAGAACTTTAGCTGAAAAATAATCACATCTTGGCTAATATGAAGTTCAGTTTACTAAACATGGATGCAAATAAAGAACGTCATTTGTTTTGTGTGTTTTTTGGCCTTCCAGTAAAGTAGTGATATTAGATATATATAAAATAAAGATTACATTTTTTAGTATAAAAAACTGTACATTTTGTTCTATCTTTCTGAGGAAAAAGTGGAAAACGCATCCCAAACTGAACACAAAATAATAATTTACCTGCTAACCACAGCGGCACCGTTCAGCTTCTTGTTGTCTTCATCGGGACAAAGTGAAGCCACAGCAGCACCTGCAGCAGAAACAAACTGAGCTCTGATGAACTCTATCAGTATCAGTATTTTTAGCACAGCAGCTGCTGTAAACGTTTAGTTTTTGCTCATTAATGTTGAGTTTAGCAACAGAACTGAGTTAASGAGTCGTGCTGATTACAGAAATGTTTCTCAGCTCCACAGAGCAGCTCACCCGTCACTTGGCTCAAGCTGTTAATGATTATTGATCTGTTTTCGTCAGAATCAACAGACAGCATGATGAGWATCTACAGAAAGACAAAACAAACAGGATTTTATCAGGTGGTTCACAAATTAACGTCTTTTTTTTTTTTTGCTGTGAAAACTGACTTTCTRTGCAGAGTTGTTTCCTTTCTTGCTGAGCAGCCGATCGGCCAGCAGCTGCTGCAGCTCCAGAACTTTGAAGCTGGCTTCTTGTTCRCTGTGACTGAGGAAGAGGATGATCTGGAGCCTCTTCAGCAGCTGCTTCAGACTCCGCTCATCGCACACCTCGGCTGCTTCGGTCAGGTACTCTTCAGMGAAGACAGGATCAGAAAAGTCGCGTGAACTAAAAATAAACTCGTTCAGCTTCTTCTTATGAGGAACGAGCTCTCAGAGGAAAAATCACAAGAGGTGAAGTTTCAAAAATCAGTCCAGTTCAAACAGAACTCTGTGTTTGCAGCACTTCTACTGTAATCAAATACAGCAAATAGAAGATAATTTCACCAAAGTACAGTGTTAGAATCAGGGTTATTATAGTTAACTAAAACTAACTAAATAACGAAAACTGAAACTGAAAAAACATTTTAGTTAACTAAAAT